ACACACACACACACACACACACACACACACACACACTTGCACAGTGCTGTATTTTGACAATACTGTGATCTCAGTTTGTATTTTGGCTGAGTGATTATCTGTGGGTCCATTGCTGGAGCTCCAGCTTGGCAGATTAACGTTGAACTGAGAACAGCACATGATAAAACAGCTTAGCATGAATTCCAGTGGAGGGAGGCGAGTTCTGTAGAGTCGCTGACACGGCTGTGTGAGAAAGTTGGTTCGAATAAATATTATCTAAGAATTTCCATTTGTATTACACAGCTGTGATGTGTCAGTTTGACTGATGGCTCCCGGGGGTGACGGAGCCACTTGGCCCACTTTTTTTCCCAGTCCATCCACACACTAATTTCTCACTCCATGCCAACCTCATTTCTCAATTTGTTCCCTGGTTTGTTCTGCCATTTTTAGCTCCTTCAATCACCTGGGAGTGTGTATCTTTGTATCAGCTCTCGGTGCCGGTTCATTTGAGATTTCCTGTCTTGCTGTTGAGGAGCATGAGACACTTTCTCCTGTCTTCTGTTTCATTTTAAATGTGATATGAAACCTTCGTGCTGTCCAGAAAATAAGCGTCACGACATAGATCAAAAGCAAAGTGCAGTGAATGTAGTTGAACAATTGTGTATTTGTTGAACTAGTTGACAGAAAAATAACAATTTCAAGTATTTTCATCATCGATTGTTGTTGATCATTTTGTGAGCATCATCTCATTCCAGCTCTTCAGATGAAATTGGGGTTTTGGTCACATTTCATAGATTAAAAACTTTATGCAGACATTACTTGCAGTCTGTTGGTTGCAGCACTAACTAGATCTAATTGTCTTCCTCTCTTCTGTGTCTGCCAGATGAAACTGACACACCTATTCTCTCTGATGCCAAGTGGACCCAGATCCTGGCCCCGCCGGCCCACCTGCTCTCTCTGAACCCCGCCCTGGCCCACGCAGACCTCAGCCCCCGGGAAAGTCCGCTGCCCTTCAAGACTCTCCCCGACTCCTCCTCCAGCACCTCCCCGGGGGCAGACCCTAAAAGACACCCTGGTCCTGAACTTTCATCCTGGGGAGAGGAGAGGCCGGCAGACGTCCACAGCCCACCGCACCCCCAGCCCAACATCGGCAAACTGGTTGGAACCGACGACCTGTCGCCGCCCCCTGTGACGGCATGTAGTGCAGTAGAGAATGGTTGCGCTGCAAGCCCGCAACATGATGGGCTGAGCAAGGAGAGAAGTTCTTCTCCAGGTTACGAGTCGGCTGCTTCTGACCAGGCGGTTACACCTCATCAGGAGGAGAGAGCTACCTCAGCTGGAGGGGGAAGCTCCACTGTCAGTCACACTAACTTTACCTTTGAGCTGGGACAAGGACAGGAAGAGACTCCTTCTGAGAAAATTCATCCAGATGTGGAAGCAACAACACAAATAAGCGAAAGTGTCACAAAAAAGGCCAGTACAGCTGTTTCACAGGACGATAGTCAAGAAAGACAAACTGCAAACTCAAACAAGGAACAGAGAGAAAGCCTCCTGAATGGGGAGAGAGGTGTTCAGTCTGGTTCTGAGGCAGAGCAGAATGGTGCATCTTCTCCGAACAGGGTTGGAGTGGAGAGGAGATGTGGTCCAGAGGGACAGATCGACCAGCTCCTCAGAATAACAAGCCTTCCCAATGGTTCGGAGCAGGAGAGGAGTAATTACACTAAGCTGACAGACGGGAAAGAGGAGGAGGAGGGTTTTTCTCCCTCTCCTGTTCCCTCTAAGGAGGACTCTGTGACCGAGGAGAAAGAAATGGAGGAGAGCAAGCAGGAGAGCAGCGATGGAGGAGCGCTGGGGTTGGGTAGCATCCAACCAAAACTCAACAATCGGCTGCAGCCCGTCAGTGTTCCCTACGGGGGGGCACGACCGAAGCAGCCAGTCACCCTCAAACTCCAGATTCCTCAGCCGCTGTCCGGCCAGGTCCAAAACCAGCTCGTCAGCAAGAACAAGAACCTTGAGAACCAGTGTCGGAGAAGCACGCCATCTGAAACAACTCTCAGTGGGACTGATCAGACCACAGTCGGGGTGAACGGAGATGGTGGTGTCCACTCTCCTGCCCCGAGGCCTTCCGAGAGCCCAGACAATGACCTCCAGGCAGGACAGCAGGGTGCCCTGTGCAAGAAACCTGCCAGCTCCCTGGGTGAGGTTGCCCCTGTGTGGGTGCCCGACTCCCAGGCTCCGGTCTGCATGAAATGTGATGTCAAGTTCACCTTCACCAAGAGGAGGCACCACTGCAGAGCCTGTGGCAAGGTCAGAGGAGCGCTAGAGCTGCTTTAAAGGGAAAATTCTAACTAAAAAAGCCTGTAACACACTTTAAAACCAGGATTATATCGATACACCTGTCTGGGCTACATTTGATGTTTGTGAAGCAATGTGCTGTTTCTTTATCAATTATGAGTTCAATATGTTAATTTGTACAGAACAACAGGAAATCCAATCAATAAATACATTAGGATGATAATTTAAAAATCACAATAAAGAGGTGTTTATAATATACTGTCTAAAACTTAAACAGGTTTGTATTTGGGCCCTTCAGAATAAAATAAACACCTTGTTGCCGCAAAGTCATCTGGGGAGAGATGCATCAGAAAAAGCCAGACTTGCACTTTCTGTACAGTTGCCTGCACAGATTGATATACCAGAAGATTTATCATATTTAGAGTAAGATGCATGAAAAAAGAAAAGAAAAAAAGAAAACGGACTGAAAAATCGATTATCTCGATTGCTGTCGACACCTGCTACCTCTCTGGTGGGGCCGACGATGCCAACTAATGTTACCCTGTCAGCACAAGTTCAGGGAAAACCAAGAACTTACGTTACAACACTTCAGCAGAAAAGAACGCTCCCAGTTTCATATAGTGTTAAACTACTGCTGCACATACACAGTGTTTTTGAGTTAAATATTCAGCGGATGCCTTCATACTGCGTTGCTCTTTTGCACATGCAATCTGACCCGGGCAGTTATCTGGAATCATCGATGTTATGGGCCATTGGTGCAGTCTTCCCTGACAGTCAGACAAAATACACGTCACTATATAAAGGAAACCGAGAGGAGAGGCAAAATGTACGAGGAGAAAATACACTGCAAATTTTAGACATGAATATTTAGATTTCAATAAAGAAGCTTGGTTTGGTTCCCTGGAGTAATGAGGGAATTTAAAAGCAATGCTTTCATAGAGGAGTTCCTTTCTTTGCAGATAAACTCAGTGGGTGTTCAGGTACATTTCTGGCATCACGGCCACCCACATATGCGGGGGGGGGGGGTCTGCACAGCGCTTTAAAGTGAAGATGTGGTCGCTGACACTGCACTGGAAAATTGCCGGTCTGCTACTTAATTTCCCTTGGTGGTAAACAAACAACACACTCTGCCGCTTGAGCAGGGAGGAGCTGGCACTGCAGTAACACTGACACCAGCACTGGGGCCACAAAAACAATAGACACAGCGGGATCAGTGCATCCACCGGCACACTGGAACTCCACAAACCAGCTTATGATGAGGCTCTGAAGCTCTGAAATGGAAATTATGCTCAGTCTTATTATTTACTAAATATACTGGATACTGTGTAATTAGGTTCTAATCCACGGAAAGTGTAGTGAACAGCTCAGGGAAGTTCTGGATAAGTACAGGAAGTCAATACCCATGAATTCATACATTCGCTGCACATTTGCTCAGAACTTCTTTTCAATTCTCCTTTTTTAAAATCATCACAGTAAATGTGATCTGGTTTGGAGAACATGTCACCCAGCTTCGTCCCGTGTGCTCATCTCTTGCAGAAGTGTGCCACAAATGATGTGAGTGTGTTCTTGTTATTTTGAAGGTGTTCTGTGCAGCATGCTGCAGTCTGAAGTGCAGGCTCCTGTACATGGACAGGAAGGAGGCCCGCGTCTGTATCACCTGTCATTCTGCTCTGACCAGTGGTGAGTGCAAGTTCATGTGTACCCTTTGTATACATATATGTCAATACAAGTAAGGATGTCACTTCATTTATTTATTCATTCATACTTATTAGACTTAAAGACTTTGAACATGACTTTACTCACATACACATACACGGCTCCAGGCTTAGTCATGACATGTTCTGTCTGCCAGCTCAATCATGGGAGACACCGAACACTGGAAACAACCAGAGTCCGAACCCCAACAACCCGGCCGAGTACTGCTCCACCATCCCCCCTCTGCAGCAGGCTCAGGCCTCTGGGGTCCTCAGCTCCCCTCCTCCCACCGTCATGGTGCCTGTGGGAGTCCTGAAACAGTCTGGCAACGAGGGTACGACCTTTACCCGGCATACAAATACTCTGAGCGCTTCACCTAACATGTTGACAGTCTGTGCCCACTTCTTTAAAGTGGTAACTTCATTTTGTCCTGAGAACAGTTTGCAGTTTTCATATGTCAGAATGTGTTTCACTGAAACGTAAATATGTGTCTTGTGTTCAGGGTCCCTCTCACGTGAGCAGAGGAGGGTGTGGTTCGCAGATGGAGTCCTTCCTAACGGAGACGCAGCAGAGTCCCCCAAACCTCCGACCTCCAGCCCAGCCCCCTCCCAGTCGCTAGCCATCTCCACGGGCTCAAGCAAATCCTCGACTTCTGATTCCTCAGAGGTAGGCACGACAAGTATTCACCCTCTGCTAATGCTATTAGTCTAGCGTGTGTATGGTTATATTAGCTGGAGGAAGCCACAAAGAACTCTTTCTGTGGGATTCTTGGTGGTTTACTGGCTGGGTCATGGATTTTAGTAAAAAACATTCCTGCTTGGAATAATTTGAAATCCCTGCATGTGCTAGATTCACTTAAAGTCGACGTTAGAGCCAGCATTTATCAGGGCAACAAGTTGTGTTTGGTTGTTTCTGTGGTTGTGCTCAACGCTCTGTGGACTTGAATGCAAACTGTCAGGATGATTCATGGCCTGTTGAACAGATTGTTGGAGCTTGTAAATGGCTTTATCTGAGATTTCCAGCTGATGCTATGGAGACACAACATGAGTATGAAATCCGACTTTCACCACGTGACTTCGTGAAGGTCATACTGACACGATCTCCATAATGTATGGATTTGAATATACTGCCAACGGTTTCCATTACTGTAATGCGACCTGTAGTTCACCAGTGGGAGTAGAAAAGTGATGAGCCATTGATTTACAGGAGCTCCTGCTGTGCTTTTTCTAGTTGTTTTCATGGTTTATCACCTTTTTACTTAAATGTATGAGGTACTCAGTTAATTCACATGTTAAAATCAATTGAATAACTGCAGTGAGGTCAACTCAGCCTGTGAGAACAGTTTTTATGATGCCTGACTGTGGAGGATCTTTATCAAAAAAGATTCAGCCGACATTACTGACGTAATCACATTTTGCTCTTGGACATTCATAATAGAAAGCATAACAATCTGGCTGTGTAAAGTTTAAAAGCAGTTGACAAGACATCAAGGGTCTTACTACAGAAATCTAAAACTGCCTAATATTGGGATCTCCCCTGGATTCTTTCACTTTACTATTGTGTGTTAAAATCTACAGTACATCTAACCCTGCACCCTCCGTCCTCAGGCAGCCCATACCCCTGTTGCCCCGGTGGGCAGCCCCGTGGGCAGCTCCATCAGTCTGATTCCAGAGGACGGGCTCCCTCCCATCCTCATCTCCACTGGAGTCAAAGGAGGTACGGGAGGCCACATCACAGGTGCTTGCCCTCATCCTCACCATTCTGCTGCCACGTCATTGCTGCTTCTGTTGTGCTGATTGAGCGTGTTTCTCATGTGCTTTACGTCACCGCTCATGTTACGGCCGCTCATTGCCAACAAGAGACAGGGGAGGGTTTGTTGTGATGATGTTTGGGGCCTCTCGCTGTTGTTAACTCAGTAATTTCCCTCTCCTACCTCACATTCAACTGCTTCTCCATTTCACCTCTTCCATTCTCCCTCTGACATCTCTCCGCTCTTTCTCATCCTCCATTCCTCCTGTGTGTTTATCTAACTGAACCTCAACTCCTCCCTCCCGCCCTCCACCCATCTCCTCTTCTTTAACCCACCTTAACCCACCTACAGACTACGCAGTGGAGGAGAGGCCGTCGGAGATCGTCCTCATGCAGCAGCTGGAGGAGGGAGGCCCCGACCCTCTGGTCTTTGTGCTCAATGCGAACCTGCTCGCCATGGTCAAGCTTGTAAACTGTGAGTTACAGTTATAAAAGTGAAAAATACATTTGTAAGTTGAACAGTTTTTATGATGCCGAACATAACTAAAGTTTAAGAATTGTTTTTTCTGCCTGTAGAATGTTGAGACATAGATTTCACGCTATTGCTGGATTCAAAATAACATCAAGCTACTTAAGTGATGGACTTTTGACACTGAGACGTAGGAGTCCGTTACATAAATGTGTTTACAGCTTTATTCAGACGTGATGGGACCATAACAGAAAAGATTTCTTTCAAAGATTGAAATGTTAAGTGATATGAAAAACTCTTCCCTCTCAACACACAGACGTAAACCGGAAGTGTTGGTATGTGACGACCAAAGGCATGCACGCTGTCGGCCAGGCGGAGGTGGTCATTCTGCTCCAGTGTCTCCCTGATGAGAAGACCATCCCTAAAGACGTCTTCACGCACTTCGTGCACCTCTACCAGGAGGCCCTCAGTGGTAAGAACACACCCAGCAGACAGCAGCTCATTGATAGTTGTGTCTCCAGGTCCAGGTGTGAGTCCACCTGTCTCAGTCAAGTGCTGTCCAGTTAAAAATGAGCCTGATGCTCGGAGGAAAATGTTCCAGCTCTACTTTTTGTTCCTCGGAGACAACAGGTGAACCCAGTTGTCCTCTATTTAGAAACCAGGTTACTGTCCACCTCTGCTGAAGTGAAAAATGGCCCAAACATTAGCGTCCTGCTGTCAGGTCGCCTCCCTCATCACCGCTTGCCTTGCATTTTTGACTCCATATGCCGCAGAGCAAATAGGGCTAATATCGGGTGACTTTGACGGCTCGCTCCCCTCAGGCAGTTTCTCCATTCATATTCAAACTGGAGCAGTTTAAGGCCGGTGGAAAGGAGCCATATTGTGCGTGTCAGTCCTGATTATGTCTCCATCAGTCAGGACTGCAGAAGAAGTGCTGGCTTCAGCAAGTCCCAGCCACCGACTTTTGTCTCGCCATTAGGGTTATTGTGTTTCCTGCCATCTAAAGCCACTGATCCCTCCTGTGGATTATTAGTAACATGAGCCCTTTGTGGGTAACATGAGGTTGCAGGGGCGAGCAGGTAAGTTTTTACTCGCTGTTTAATTCAGACTAAGCCAAGGCTCTTTATTCAAACAATAATCCCATATATTACTGAATATTCTAAAAGTCCTTGCCTCCACTTTCTCTCCATTTTTTTCCTCCTTTGCTTCTCCTTTGTGTTTTTTTTTTACCTTTGGCGTTTTTCTCCTTTCATCCTTTTATTTTTAATCTTATCTATTTCATCTCATTCACATCTGGTTTTACTTTGTCCCCCCAAGTGCCTATTATATCACTTTTCTTTTTCTGCCCACCTTCTCATTGCCACCCTGCTGAGCCTCTCCTATTTCACCAGCCCCTCCTCCTCCTCCTCCTCCTCATATCTCCAGCATCACTGACCTCTCTCTCCTCTTCTTTCTCGTCTCCTAAAGGCAACGTGCTGAGCCACCTGAGTCACTCCTTCTTCACGCAGAGCTTCCTGGGCAGTAAGGAGCATGGCGGCTTCCTCTACATCAGCCCGTCCTTCCAATCACTGCAGGACCTCCTACTACCAAACCCGCCTTACCTCTTCGGCATCCTGATCCAGAAGTGGGAGACGCCCTGGGCCAAGGTCTTCCCCATCCGCCTCATGCTGCGGCTGGGTGCAGAGTACCGCTGTGAGTTGGGGGTTCACACTATAAGCAACAGTAATAGTTGAAGTATATTTTGATGATTTAACTGAATGTTATTCTAAAGCATTGACTACACACATTAAAGTCCATTAGAAAGCTCTTCTGGAGTTTTTAATCATATCACATCATAAAAACATTTACCAGGAACTTTATTTGGACTCTGGTCCATGTGGTGGAAAAGTAGGGCGTTAAATTCAGAGCAAGGAAAGTCGTTATCCTTCAGTGGTTTGGTTTTCTTTTTCTTATGGTAAAATATTAAGATCCAGATTGATCTAGAGAGCTTACCTTGTCAGTTGACAGAAGAAGCCTGTCGACCTCCAGCTAGCACTTATTTCTCACAGCTTCCCACATGGCCCAGGAAATCTTGTGTGCATGTGTTTTTTTTTAATCAGAGAGGTTCCTCTCCACCAAATCCCTGTCTCTCACTGCCAGACCTGCCAGCACCGAGCGCAGCCTGGCTCCGTTAAGCCTCTTGCCTGCTTCCAGCAAGCACGGATAGAATAAATTAACAAAGCCAGATTCCGCTGAAGCTCTAAGACACCAAATATTAGTATTAACATGAAATGAACCCACCACACAAGCAGTGCAGCTCTCCACGCTGTCACCACTTGCAGTGACCAGCAGAAGGTTGTGAGGACACAAATCCTCTGTGATGTGTAGTTTCAGGCTGAGATTGGTCTTCATTGCTAATCAGAGTTTGTGGCGAGATCTTATATCCAGCTGTTTGCTGAGATAAGACTAAAAATAGTCGTAAGGAGCTTTGGTCCCTGGAGGGAAAAAAACTGCCTTATTTTTTCACTTGTGGATTAGGAGTGTTCCTCCTGACTGCAGGCGCAGTGCTTTGTATTTGATGTTAGTCTGTGGGGTCTCGAGATCAGTTCATTTGCATTTATGAATGATGACAATGGGAAAACACAGAAAACAATAGTTGTGCTGTTACTAAAAATATTAAAGATCCTGGAATCATCTCACATGCAGAACAAAAAAGACCGAAATCCAAGAAGTCAATAAAACAATTTATAAAAGCAAATATGTAAATATAACACGCACTGTGCCCACTTTTCTGCTACTTAATATAGTCACGGCTGAAACCAAAATACTAAAGTTGTCTCCAGATCAGCTTCGTTCTGCTCCAGTGTTTGATACATTTCCATGACAACTGCACAGAAGAGAAATGAACAATAATAATTGGCTCAGACATAAAAGAATATATTCACAGGGAAGAATAAAAACACGTTAGTCACAAAACATCTCTGTTCTACGTTAATCAATAAAGGAATGATTTGTTTCTACAGTTTATCCGTGTCCGCTGTTCAGTGTTCGCTTCAGAAAACCTCTCTTCGGAGAGACCGGTCACACGATAATGAACCTGCTCGCAGTGAGTACTTTGATATATGTTTAAAAATAACATCTCCTGCAATACAGTTTTCAACATGTCGTTATTTTGTCACTTACCAAGTTTTACTTTAGTTTCTACCTGAATTAAACACCCAGCTAAAAACACAGGGTCCTTTAATTTGTATTTCACTTATTTCTTCTTTCTGCCTTCAGGACTTCCGTAACTACCAGTACACACTCCCGGTGGTGAAAGGGCTGGTCGTGGACATGGAGGTGAGGAAGACGAGCATCAAGATCCCCAGCAATCGCTACAATGAGGTGAGCGTCCAGTAACTGGGATTTCTATTAACAACATCACACACTGGTCAAAACTATGATCACATTCACACTGTTTGATTCATTCATCCTGAGGATTTATGAGTTTTATAAAGTTGCCTTTTAGCGCTTCTCTCTTCTGGATCGAAAGCTGTAAACAGGAAGTATCAATGACTGATGGTTAATTCTGTTTTTGTGGCTGTCCTCTGACCCACATTGGAAAACAGAGCAGCATAAAGAATTAGATTTTCCTAAGAACTAATATATTAAATTAAATATGATGTTAAACGGAGAAAACCAGGAAATCGTCACATTTCCTAGAAATGAATGAAATCTTTTTTCTGGCTCTCATGTTTTTATTATTATTGATGAACAAGTAGAAACAAGTCATAATGTTTTGGGAGGAGTCAGTGACTTTGTGGTTAAAAGTCAACATGGAAGTGAATCCAAGATATTTCCTTTTATCCACTCGCTGCTGTTTGTTGCACCAGTAAAAAGACCTCAGGAGAAAACCGAGCTCTTTTATTTCCAGGCTGACGCGTAATATTTCATAACACAATGAAACCCTTCACGGGTGATTGACAACAGTGGAGGACGGTTCTTTTAGCTCATTGAACATCGACACACGCATGTTCACTCTGATTAGGTGATATGTGACAAACTCTCCGAGGTCTCTCCATCTCAACGTTTGGCGTAGGCTGCCAAATGTTTCTGACGCTGCAGCCTCAAGGGTGTGAATGAAATGTCCAACAAGAGTGATACACACACCGAGCGCCGTTTGGCAGAGAGAAGGAGCCATGCGTGCAGAGGGGGGTGCCAGTTGTAGTGTTTGGCTGCTCGTGCAGTAACAGATGGGGGCCCAGTGAAGGAGGGACCGTTTCTCGACAGCTTGCAGACAAACCTTCAGCGCAGCAAGTGGTTAAAGCGCTCCAGATTTTCAGTTTCATTTCTGACTTGCAGAGGACGCTGTCAAAGAGACACACAGACGAGGGATTAAAATGTGCGGTCTTTCAACTATTGGTATCCACCCGTGTCAATGTCTTACTCCGCAATCTGTCATCTCAACGCCATCGCCTTTAACTCGAGGACTTTGCCCTCAAGACCCGCCGCAATTAGGCTTAACCAGGCAGCCTCTCATAAGCCCATTTTTCTCTGCACACACCCAGAGGGCGGCTTAATTAGTCATGGATATCATTTGTCCTTGCAGCTGATGAAGGCCATGAACAAGTCCAACGAGCACGTTCTGGCCATGGGGGCGTGTTTCAACGACCGCGCCGACTCCCACCTGGTTTGTGTCCAGAACGACGACGGCAACTATCAGACGCAGGCGATCAGCATCCATCACCAGCCGCGCAAAGGTGCTGCTGCAGAAACACACTCATCACCTTTAACACTTCCTTCACCTCTGCACTGTCTGGGTTTTACTTCCTGCTCGTTGTCTAGACAACAGTTTCCCTCCTCTGTGGGGAACTCTGATATTATTGCTCTTGTTCTGTCCGTCCTGCCCGTGTTGGACTTGTGCAGTTGAATTGAAGTTGATTATTTTTCCTTTTCCTGTCTGTTTGTGTTTATTCTTCTTCCAGTCACCGGAGCCTGCTTCTTTGTGTTCAGTGGGGCTTTGAAAGCCTCGTCAGGCTTCTTGGCAAAGACCAGCATTGTGGAAGGTGAGACCTGTGACAACAAACGACTTGTTGGCTTCAAAATGCTGAAATGTTTGCTGAGTATATTTGTATGAAACGGTCACAGCACCTACAAAGACTTTCCACCATGTCAGCACAAATTAATAATAGTAATGGAACTCGTGGTTAAAGAAGTTTTCTTGTCCCTTCTGTGCAAGATTAACTATGAGTGGACACATTTAGTTTGGACACCATTTGTCTTTTTCTTCCACCTGAAGACGGTGTGATGATCCAGATCACAGCTGAGACCATGGACTCTCTGCGGCAAGCCCTGAGAGACATGAAAGACTTCACCATCACGTGCGGTAAAGCCGACCAGGAGGAAAACCAGGAGCTGGTGCACATCCAGTGGACAGAGGACGACCACAACTTCAACAAGGGGTGAGGACGGACGGGAGGAGACTCTTTTATGTCACAGACAACTGAAGTGAAACCACCTCATTCACTTCTCTGCTATAAAAACTCATTATGCACGCGAGAGGAATCCCTCTGGAGGAAACTCTGCAATGATGTCGTGTGACGTGGCTCCGACTGAGACTCAGACCAGCACAATCAATTTAACAGCAGCCAGATAAAATCTACAAATTTGAATGTAACTTGTTACCATCAAATATAATAAAACACAGATCTAGTAACAAAACATACCTGAAGTATAAAACAGTAGTAGAAGGTCGTTTTGGTGATTATTGTGATTTTTAAGGGTTCTTTCTTCTGACCTACGGTTAAATGCAGATGTTTATCGAGTGTTGCTGTGTGTTTCCAGTGTGATCAGTCCGATTGATGGAAAGTCTATGGAGTCCATCACCAGCGTCAAGATCTTCCACGGCTCCGAGTTCAAAGCCAATGGCAAAGTCATCCGCTGGACAGAGGTACGACTCCGAGTGGTCATGAAACTCAAGGTCTCACTGTTTCAAACATTTAGGTGGATAGAAACTGAACTTTTTCACGACGTCTCTTTATGAAGCTCTGAACCAAAGACGGACTCATTTCCTGCAGAGATCTTCCTCATGGTCATGTTTGTCTGTGTCAGGTCTTCTTCCTCCAGAGTGAAGACCAACCCAACGGTCTGAGCGACCCCGCCGACCACAGCCGCCTGACGGAGAACGTGGCGAGAGCTTTCTGCGTGGCGCTGTGTCCGCACCTGAAGCTGCTGAAGGAGGACGGCATGGCCAAACTGGGACTGAGGGTCACACTGGACTCTGATCAGGTACGAGGACAGAAGTATGGATCCGTCAGAAACGTGGACTTTCATTTCTTTGCCTCGTCACGTGTTTGTGTAACACCTGTCTTGGTTCTCTCAGGTGGGTTACCTGGCAGGAAGTAACGGTCAGCCTCTCCTGCCTCAGTACCTGAGCGACCTGGACAGCGCTCTGATCCCCGTCATCCACAGCGGGGCGTGTCAGCTGAGCGAGGGCCCCGTGGTCATGGAGCTGGTCTTCTACATCCTGGAGATCATCTCCTAGAAGCCGCATACATCCCCACCACTTCTTTTTGTTTTTTTTACCTTCTAACACATCCCACAGCCTCCGTCACCTCCCTTCAACTGTTTGCACTTATAACGAGCCTGAAAACTGTGCCGCGCCAGGTGAGGTAGCATTCCTCAAGTCAAACCTATGCATCCAGCCACCGTCTGTTGTGCTCCGGAGGTCACCTGGGGCCCGAGGAAGCTCAGAGCGGGTGCTCCGGTCACACTGGGTCCGTCCTGATGCCCACACTGTGCACGAGTAGTGAAGTGCCTGTTTGGTTTATTGACTTCCCACATATTAGACAAATTAGTCTGATGGACCAGGCAGTACTCAGACCACAGACACAGACGAGAGTTAAACTCTTAATAAAGACGTTACAGAGGCAGAGAAATCACTTGATTCTGTTTCTGGTGGATTAAGTTGGATGTTTATTATATTTTGACGATGCTGATCAGTTTCAAGAAGTTGATAGGAGGTGATAATAATAATAATCTGTGGATGTGCAGCAATAATATGTGAAGTTTGGAGATTTGTGTGTTGACTGTTGTCGGTCCTAACAGCAGGAAGTACAAACAGCAGCTGGACTGGTTCAGTGAGATGAAGATAGAAATTAAGAAACTGATGATTTTCTTGGGTTAGGTGAAAACTGTCTGTTACAGTTTTGTCGATTTGAAGCTTGTGTCAGAAAAAGATCTGACCCACAGACGATCAGTTTACTACAAAGTAAGACGAGATGTGACGACGTGAAAGTGAAAGGTCACAGTCGAACTGGTGATAGAAGAACAGGGCAGAGAGGGAGCACGAGCTCCGTGAACGTCTTTCCTCTGGGTTGTGTTCGTGTTTGTGCGTTGGAGCGTAACAGACGTGAGACAACCAGAAAATAAAAGTGGTTTCTCAGATTTGCTGCTTTGTTTGTTCTCGCTAACGCTTTGTCTCCAGCTCTTTCACTCGAGGACTCTGGTCAGAGGCTTGATCCGATTCTTTTACTCTTTTTAAACTTGCAGAGTAGTATAAGTACAGTTGAGTATTTTTGACAAGCTAGAGCTGATTTGCCCTAATGTTGAATCAGTATTAGTAGAGTAGGTTGTTGGGTTACTCTCTCTGTGTGTGTGTGTGTGTGTGTGTGTGTGTGTTTTCCAGACATGACACACACTTACGCTCCGCTGACGTGGATGTGTGTGTGTGTGTGTGTGGACGGACCCTCTGTCTGACTCGAGCGTGGCGTTACTTAGCACCCAAACGTCACTGTGGCAGCCTGAAGGCTCCTGAACGGGCCTCTGTGTAGCACGGATGCTCTTACGAGAGGAGACTCATCATCCACCGCTGAAGAGTTCGGACCTATTTCTCTTTGGTTGCGTTACCAAGGAAACTACAAATCATCGGCTGAGGAGGTAGAAGGTGTCTCTGTGTGGTGGAGTAGAATTTTTCTTTTTTCTTTTTCTTTTTTTGCTCCGTGGTTCTCAGTGCCTGCAGCAGCGATTCATCAACGAGACGGAGAAAGAAAAACATCCCGGCTTCACCTCTTAAGCTTTACTCATCAATCACCAGATGCTTTACTTCATGGACAAACGTGTCCACTGGTTGTACATATTTTTGTAGGCAGAACAATCTCCCGTCCGTTACGACTATGACATGCGTAGCCTCCAGAGATCCCAGTGAAAGACAGTATTATTGAATTGACCGTCACACACTCGTCTGCCGTGAAACAAGATTTCAAGCCACAAACGCCCCTTTGTCCTAAAGCAGACGGCTAATGAAAAGGTTCCAATGCTTTATCGAGAAACTCAACGTGTACATAAATGGGAAAAGCAGAAGAGGGGAAAACTTTTTAATCTCATCAGAATCATCAGCGCTCGTGTTCGTCCGGAAAAAAACAAAAACCCCTTGAGTTATTTTAATCATACAAAGAGAATAACTGTCGAAGATGTAAAGATGTATAAATATATAAAAAGTGTATTAAACTTGCAGAAGCAGTGCACTGGATTCTAAGCCATCTACAGGAGAGGGAAAGCAGGCGTCAGGGTTACTGCCACTGTGTTCTGGAAAAGTTTCTCCAGCAGAAGAGGAAAGAAAGTTTGGTGTTTGAAGATCTGGGGGTTCCTGCAAGATCGACTTCAAGCTGAATGTATTTCATCTCATGTTTTCTGCAGAAAACTCCTCATCCTTCCAAAATCCATGAAATCAGCACCATCCTGCTCCCCAGACTTTTCAAGATTAAAGTTTGCAGACCTGGCAGGAACCGGACTGTTCGTCTTCAAGGCCTCAGCCGTTTGTGTTGGAGGTAGACCTGCAGCTCCTCTGTCTGCTCTGCTCTGTCCGCTCTCCCTCCGCAACATGGACCTGGAAGAACAATCTAAAGAATGTATTCCTCCTGTTTCTGTTCAAGTCTGCAAAATGTGTTTTTGTTTTCTTTTTCCATTTCTCGCTAGACTAATCACCAAAAACCTCACCCTGTTCTGAACGTTCATCAACCTGCGTCATCACAGCAGATCCTCCATCTTTAGTCATAGAAAAACAAGAAGGGGCTACGCGGAAAGAAAACCAAGTACTGTTGTCGCAGTGCGAGAGGTTTTTATTATCGGAGAAAAACAATCTCGTCATCACAAGTGAGAATCAGACAATCACATGAAAACCTGCAGAAGAGCCGACGCTAAGAGCTGAAATTAGACCTGTAGGAATCCTGCGTCTGTTTAATACTCGATCTGAAGTATTTTAGACGCCACTGTAGCAAGTTAACGTTAGTGAGAGCGGATTAAAACGCTCAGAGGTCAAAAGTCACCAGTTCTGGATTAATTCACTGTGATTATACCAGAGCTGTGAATCTCTGCGTCTTCACCATGTGACGTTTTCATGAATCAGCATCAAAGAAGAGGAGACGTAAGGATTTATTTTTCAGGCTCCCTGTTTTCGGTTGAGTGATTTTTTTTTTTTTTTTTGCGTTATCCAACGTGTGCAATATTTCCTAAATCCAAAAAAAGGTGCAATTTGTTTGACTGAAAGTAGCATTATTTTAAAATTTGTTGTGGTATTCAGTTGTAGGATGTTACGATCTGAAACTAAACACTGCATGCAACAGAAACTTGTTGGATTTGACCGGTTTTCTCCTCGTGTTTGTGGACGAAACGTGAAAAACAATCCACTTCGTCATTGACTTGGTTTTTTTTGTTTTTTTTAATTAACATTTGTCGAAATGTTTGAAGCCAAAAACCATGTACATGTTTATTCTTTACACTACAAATGTCAAAAAAAGTGGTCTTCATTAAAAAAACTGTAGTATATGTACAATAAAAACTTATAGAAAATTTAAATTAGTGGTAATTGTATTTCCTTCTGTTGAGGCCTCTATACACTTTATTTCCTTGAATCAATTTTTAATCGGGGGGGTCAAAGAAAGCCACAAATATATAGTTTGTGTAAAATAATTTTTAAGATTTTTATTTTCAAGCAGGGCAGAAAAAGCAGTCCACAATTAAAAATAAGAAGTTTTACAGATTCTTTAGTGTTTTATTGATATAACGAACAAATATGACCACAGAAAATAAAATGATTGGTAACAGTGTTTTAATTATTTAGGACAAAGTGTCAAGTAAACGATACTGAGAAACAGAAATGTTGTGACCATGGCAACTGAATAATGTTGCAGACGTTGAGGTAAAACTGTTGGAAACTGAATTTATGTGGTGGACTCAGGAACTTTATTACAAAGCTGAAATTTAAACTTTTGAGGGAGCGTTCACTCAAATCACAGAAAAACTTTTCTCACTTAAAGCTGATTTTTTCTTGGGGGGGGGGGGGTTTATGGCTCTGTTACTCATTCACTGTCTCCGAGCTCGTCACCAGCTGCTGAGGGGAAATGTCTGAATGTTTGACCGGCTGAGAAAGTGGAGAAACCAAAACAACGAGCTGACGGACGCTAAAACTGGGAATGAGCTTCAGGTGCAGGAAACATTTTCAATCCAGTTTCAAGTTGATCAAATATCCAGATTTAGTGATTCTGCAGGAAACAAATCCCTGTTTAGAAAGCACTTCCTTTACATGTTTATCCAACGGGCAGGTGAGAAAATGGAAAAATGCAGTTTTCTGTCCTTGTAATTTGGGTGAACTGTCCCTTTAAGATGCCGACGGCTTCAGTTTCCACCAGGTGAGAGAACTGATGCATAGTTTAGAAAGTTTACTTCCACATCTTTTAAGAACAGGAGAAGATCAACACCCACAATATTTGAGCTTAAGTTTTTCACATCTTTCTTGTTTACTCATAAAAATAATGAATCAGTTTAAACATTTGTTTCTCAGATTTGTGCTGTTAACAACAAGTCAGTCGGACACAACTAAAGATAAACCAGTGAAGGTGCTAACAGTGAGTGTGGTCTGTGAGATTATTATTATGTTATGGAACTTTCCTTGGCTTACTCCTGTAAAACATCTGTGATGTCGCTGCGTCAGCCCGATACGTTCACACTGAGAAGCAGAAGTGTAGTGTGGGGAAATAAAGAAGGACCCTGACGACTCACATCCCGTCACACACATGAACCCGTCGTGTCGTAGCAGGTTTGGCAGCTAAAGGCGATTTCAAATATGCAGGATTTTACAGCAACAGTGATTACTTTGGTATTAGTGCATAGGTGCAGTTCTAGATACCAGAGCTGTATAATATGAAGAATATGTACACATTCTTTTTCTCTCTATTATATTAACTATAGTCGGGCAGCAGGATCAGGGGAGCTCGACACTGAGCCCCTTCATCATCAGCACGGGACGCCAGAGCAGCTCCTCAGACTGACGACAGCCAAGCCGACCCTCTGTAAACCGGGCTCCTCGTAGACGGCTGCATGTGAGGGAGCTCCCGTGTCTTGCAAATGTGCAAACCTATTTTTTTTATTTATTTTTTTTTAGTGAAAAGAGCCAATCTGAACCACAGACCGTTCGTCCAAGTCAGATCCGAAACGCCCGTCTCTCTTCACCTCCTCTGAGTGTTTCTGATGGAGAGATACAGACGTCATCGGTCAGGTGGAAAATCAAAAAGTAAAGAAATCGTTCAAACATATTCTTAATGTCTAAAGAAGTCGTTTTGACATTCTGGGAACGTTCCTAGAAGAATAATTACCTGTATCGTGTGAGTCATCTTCAATCCTGTAGCTTCATCTAAACAAGAACCTTGATTTCAAAAAGAAGTTTAACACAATCAGAGGTTTGTCTTTGTGATGATTCACGTCATCAGTGTGTGTTGAGAGTCACCTGTGACTGGTCGATCACCAGCCAGCGCTCGGTGCTCGACTGCATGTCCTGACCGCTCAGAGGCTCCCGCAGGCGGATCTTCACCTCGACACGACCTCCTGTGTGTTTGCGCCCGTCCATCACCTGACAGCAGAAACGCAGCAGACTGATCATCTACTCAATGTGACAAATATTCCAGATTTGCTCAATGTCTTTCTCCTCATCTATGTTTGACTTTTGTTTTTCGACTTCATGCCGCTCACCTCTACGATTTCCCTGATTTCACTCTGAGACTCCAGCTTGTCCAGCTTCACGATGGCCGTCCCGATCGGCTTGTCGCTCCGGAGGAAACCTCTGAGACAACACACGACATCATCGTCACTGTCACAGACTCAACGTGATGAGACTCTGACATGACAGCGCTTGTGACATCCCCGAAGTTCAGACTTCGCGTTATTTTTATTTTATCTCTTCAACTAAAATCTGTAAATCTCTCAACAGAACACAAAGGTTTTAGGCAGATTTCTGTAAATTCTGCAAAATATCTTATTTGTGTATAATTTTAGCAAAAACAGATTTAAGTTGTCAGATGTTAATAAACGTTCTGAGCCGTGAATGTTTGCAAAGTTGTGTTTGTTGAAGCATTTGAAGCAGCTCCGACTGAGACTCACCCTTTGTGCAGCAGCTCCAGTTTGAGGCCTTTGGACGTCACCACCCTCCTGAAGCCGCGGTGGTTGCGGTTGATTGACAGCGTGAAGCTCTGGTTGTATTCTGGTGGAAAGAGATGACGGATTAAGAGACGGAGCAGAACTGCAGAGCCTAAAGTTTATTCAGAGAAACTAAAGATTCAAGAAAAAAAAGAGATAAATCCACCTGAAAGTCACTATTTAAAAAAAAAACCCAGATTGAATCCTCCGGTGAACTCACCTGGAGAGTTTGTGTTCTTGATGACAGATGTTTTGTGTTTCTGAGGCTGCTCCTGCTCACGACAGAACAAAAATCAAAGAATCATTGGTGTGTGGTCGTCTCAGCCGCCTGTGGAAGCTGTGACCAGAAGATAGTTTGAATTTCTTACGCTGCTCGGGTAGGGGAAGTCAAACTTGACATAAGCGTCCAGATCGTTGGTTTGGATTCCTGAGGGAAGAAGAACTTAAACTTAATTTCTTAGTAGTTTTCGTTTCCACGTCAGACCTGGATGTTTCCTCTTCAACGTGTTAATGTAATAATGAGTAGACTGATCTTTTTACCACTTGGTGCTGGAAGATTCATCCCTTTCACGATGACAACCACCATGTCAGTGCTGCTCAGCTCTGGAAATATCCTGAGAGGGAAGAAGTTTCAAACATTTTACAATTTTACCATTACACCTCTTTTATTTTTTTTAATAAGATTTGTTGAACTTAACGAGCGAAATGTCAGATCTGGGGAAAGTGCTCACCGGGCTGTGTGAAACGATCTCTCCTCAAAGTGATGTTTAGGAGGAGGCAGAGCCCTCGACTGAGCCAGCTTCAGAACCTCCAGACTCTTCTTACAACTCTCCGCCATCCTCTCAAACCTGGAGGATACGAGTACACACACACACACACACACACACACACACACACACACACACACA